CAAAATAATTTACATGTGAGGAGGGTTATTTAAATGTGTACGAGATAATATCGAAATGCAGTGCTCACTAAGTTCTCACACGTGTGTCCCACTTTTAAAAATGAACCTTTTTTAGGTAGATGTTTAAAAACGGTGATTACGAAAGCCTGAAAACGTTTCAGTCAATGATTAGAAGATTCGAGCACATTATTATATTCCACTAGGCTTTCCGGAGATTGTATCTAAAATAATTTTTTATTCTGTCACCATTGCCTATGTGATACCACATCTACATGAATTTTAAATCAGTCCGAGGGATCAGGCTCGGAAGTTTATATATCCTTATTCATACTAAGACGCGGTCACTAATCACACTGTCAAAATTAGTGATGTCTGGACTCATGGAAGGAGGGTCATCATCCATCAATGAACTGATGTATAGTACGTCATTACACGCTCACATCACTTGCGTTGTCTTCATTACACGCCGAGAATAGCTTGCGTCCTCCTGTCGCCGAATGAGCGCCTACTTTGGTCGCCAGTCGCAGGAATCCTTCCCAGATAAAATTGTGAGACGATACCGGAGCAAGGCTAGCCGAGCACGTCGCGCTTTAGCCGGACGGAGCTGTGAAATAGTAACGGGCCAGTTGCAAGTAAAACAGCGTTTCGTCATGGCTCATATAGAGCTAGAGAAACTCCAACAGCCTGGGAGGGTCGGAATACGGCGCTGTTAAGGCGCTGCCACATGGCATGGACGGCAAGGCGCCGAACCAAACAGTTGTTCAGGCCGTACATTGCATGAGGGGTGGGGGAGGTTGAGAGAGGGAGGCAGGTAAGAGTTGGAGAAGAGGAAGGGATCTCCGTTCTCAATCTAGTTCAAGTGACATAATGTGCCATTTCGGTTCCATTTCTGGATCCAGTTAAGCTTATTATACCACATCATTACTTTAATACATTGAAATACGCAAGTTCTTTATTTGCTTCCACAATTAGAACACCTCCGCATAGAGAAACGTTTACGCACAACTATGCTTCAATAATGTCCAAGAAATGTCGATCAGTTTTTATCAATTTTTTTTTCTAACGTGAATGTACAGCAAACGTTGTTGATTTTTCCTTCATCTTATTAACACTTTAAGTGCTGCACGGCACGACCCACCGGTGAATTGCAGGGTCTTTTTTTTTCTGGAAAAATTCCGCAAGTAAATTTTTCAATTGCGTTTATCAACAAAAATTTATGATAGCAGGACTACGTCATTAAATTTTAAAATGTACGGAAAAAAGGCAAATTTAATTTTTGCACCGGAGCCTATATATTTACTAATATATTTTGAATTATAGGCTTTTTTATCCGCGTAATTGGCCGTTTTTAGGCCATCTGCCAGCGCTGGTGGGTTGTGCCGCACTCAACGTGTTAAATGATATAAATCTCCTGCTATCGACTATAAGTTGTAAGAAGAAACTTTCCAAAACGTTGTGATTTTTTTATTTTACACAATCCCATTGTAAACTTTTTCATAGTTCATATTCAAAACGTTTTCATACTGCTGCCTTAACGTATTCAATTAATCAAGACAAATTTGCCTCAATTAGTCAATGAGACTGATTTAGTCCGTGAAAATTATGATAAATATATTGCGATATAAATTGAAGTCTATTGAGCATTCTATTATTTAATGTTCATTACATAGAGAACTAGCTCGTAAATTGTTCGAGGAAAGATGGAAAAAACAGCATTTCTCAGGGCCGAAAATCCAGAGAAGTTGTCAGAGAAGCACTGCTTGTCTGCCTCCATTAATGAACGATATTGAACACGAATATTTTGACCCATTCCAATACGAGTACTATTCTTTTTTTGATTGAATGAAAACTTCGTTTATTCCTCTAAAAAAAACATAAGCGAATTATCTCAAAACAGTTCCACCACAAATGCGGCTATATCTCGATTTACTGGACAATAGCAAGTCATTCGTTTTGTAGCAAGTCATTCGTTTGCTCTATCACCTACATTATGTAGTTGAAAGAGCTCAGTGTGGTAAGGTGCCTTGGTGGTAAAGCTGGCTACGGCGTGGACTTTGGACGCGAGAACCCTGCGTTCGAATCTCGGAGCTGTCGTCGCCGTTTATCCGGTGAGAGCACATAGCGGTAAATTATTTGCAGCTTCTCTACATCCGTAATATTTGACTTTGTTAGTTTGTAACTGATATCGCAAGTGTTATTACGATGTGAATGTTCGACATCGAAGGCTATCTTATGAAACTTGCCAGTGTTAAGAGCAACGTGTAGGTTGATCTTGGCTTGAGAAGGAAAACATAATTTTAAATCGTGATCACATAGTCGACCACCGGTCCAACTCAACTGCTGCGCGCTGCCAGAGCCGGCCCAGATCGGGCGATGAGGGGGTTTGAGCCGGAGGAGCTCGTTGAGTACTGCATGTTCGCAGGGCAGAGCCCACCAGAGCAGGTGCTCAGAGGTTAATTAGCGCTGCTAGTTACTGTATATCGTATCTAATGTGGGCATTTCTGCTCTTTCGTGGCACTGGCGGGTCCCTACGTCGGCCCTTTTTAGCCGGCGATGGCCGGTTCTATCCCCTGCCCTAAATTTTAACTGGAGTCGGTGCGCGGAGCAGGCAACCGCTGAGTGCGCAGGCATTCTCTCGATGGTGCGCAGGAAACTTCTCTGTGGGGCGCACGTAACATATCAGTGGTGCGCAGGTAACCTCCCGCACTGCCCCATCCTCACTATCATGGTACTAAATTACCTAGCTAACTTGTAATCACGTTATATGTCTATGATAAACCGTGATCGCAGATTAGTGCGGTACAATCCAATGGGTGGCAGAAATTCTTATTTCAGTGAATGCAAGTTGGAGTTGAAGTTGTTTTAATAAGAAAGTGAATTTAACTCAGGACTGAAACAAGTACTTATCGTCCATGCATTCCTCTGAAGTCGAAATAAATTTATTAATTTAAAAATATTCGTATGATAGATTTTCAACCTTCCAAAGCGCATTAAGTTTGTCATTTTATGATTTTCCACAACATTTGAATAGCAAAATTTTTACAGTGCATACGAATGACATTTTTAAAAGATATAGACATATGGCAGAAATATTCAGCGATGCCTTTCAGTGGGTGACCGCCAACTTCCAAGATGGCGCCAACTCCAACGGAAATGTCAGCTCCGGCCATCAGTGCTCCAGGTTAAGCAGTGACTGAGATGTTGGAGAAACTTTCAGCTGTTGGGGAAATGTTTAGCTGTTGTGGAAATTTGGCAGCTGCAGTTCTTTGTTGATGTTGTGGACTTAACTGAACATTTTGATATTGAACGTAATTGAACATTTTTTCTTAGGATTCAACGTTAGGCTTTTGTCTTACTTTTTTAATGGAATATTTGAAAATGAACGTATAAATGTGAGAAGAGTGCCATTCTAAATCAAGTGAATTGATGAAAATTCGGGCTAAATAAAACAAAAAATTAAATATTTCCGCTTTCGTCGCGCATTCTTGACTGCCGGGACCCGGGAAAGCGTGTGTCGGTGGGAAATGTCGCCAGACGAGACGACGGTTGCTGGCTGAGCGAGTTCCGACTGGAATTTTTATAATTTTTTTCTTTTTTAAATTTATTTTTACACCGATTTACAGTTTACGTGCGTCCAGAGGAATGAATATAATGATCAAAAGAATTATTATATTGATGCAAAATTATGAAGTGCCTCGATATTCGATCTTTCATTTTATTCGACTAATTAAAATTGTCATAAAGTTCACGGAAATCATTAAGGTTGATGCACAAAGAAATCTTTCCTACATAAGATATATGTAAATACGTGTACAGTTTATACCCAAACGACATTCTCGAAATTAGTGGGTCAGGAAAGAAAGTAAATTGTATTATAAGAAATCAATATGGCCGCTGTTCGGGAGAGACATAGATTCTGATCAAAGAATTTCAGATCACCTATAAGAAAATTCAAATTTTTCTAATTGAAAAATTCTCACCGAAGCCTGGATCTATTCAGGCAATTACGAAAAATTTTAAAGTGTGGTACAAAAATGGAGCATGAGGAAGAAAAAACAGTCTATGGAAATAACTCTCGAAGATACGCCATCAGTAAATCAGACTGAAAAATCTCAACTGTTTATTTCAAAACAAGAACGAATTTCTCGATTGCAGTTTACAAGTTATTCATGATCTTACAGTTTACGCATGATTCCTTTTTTTGCCTGTGGTTCGAAAATTATTTAACTTAGCCGACTTCGCAGGTGACCTTGAAATTTCGTTTGCGAATAGAGGCAGCCAATGAATCTCATTCGCCCATAACCTGCTGGAAATCTATTAAACTTTCTTGGATTTCATTTTAAAATCTTTAACCGTAAACGTGTCATATCGGAATAGATATCAATAGAGTTAAGTGAAGTTTACTATGGTATTGCCCGTTATCTTCTGTTGATGACATGTTACAGGGAAGCGCATGCAGACGGCAAAGCATTAATATTTTAGGAGACGCGATAGTTGGCAAAGCTGACGCCTTCAGAGGAATTACGTAATTCTGGGGTATGCAAATATGGTGGGTTGGGGTCGGACGCATCACAAAACTGGTAATAAATTTCGTTGACACATAATATGCTGAATATTGTGTGAATTTCTTCGATACATCAAACTCATAGCCGAATACATCAAGCTTCTGGCAGAATACATCCAACTAATGATGGAATACACCGTATTTATATATTATCTGATAAAGTATCATAAATAACGAAACAGTTTTTCTTTTTTAGGCAAAATTAAAGTAAAATTCGAGCAAAATTATTCTTTAATTATTTGAATGTTTATAAGCTGTACAAACAGGATAAATTGGGATTAAAAATATATATGTGTATATTTTAACAATCTCCACAGTGTCTGCTCAGAGTTCAAGATCAGCAGAACATTTTCATTTTGGTGGCTAAGTGAGATATCAGTTGCCCCTGCAGTATAAGTCGGCCAATATAATTAACTCATTTTTTCTTGCAGGCACTATGGAATTAATCGACATTGTAAGTCAGCGCCCTTTACTCGTACCAGACAACGCAAAGAGGCCGAACTGGAAGGAAGTTTTTAAGATCATTGAGAAGGACGACGCCACAAAGCTTCGGCAGCTGCTTTGTGACGCTGGAGCTGGTGCGCACCACGAGATGCTGGAGCTGGTGGCGCGGCCCCAAGAGTCAAAGGACCACAAGACGGCGCTCCATGCGGCTGTTGAGATACCCGCCCCGGAGTGCCTGAAGGTCTTGCTCGAATCACACCCCAGCCTGGACGTCCTAGACTCGCCAGACAACAAGGGTAACACGCCTCTAAATGCAGCGGTGAAGAGTCTTAATTGTGATGCCATCACTAAACTTATTAAGGCAGGAGCTACTGTAAACGTACGAAATGATTATGGAAATTCCCCTCTCCACCTGCTGGTTTATGCGGCGGCCAGGGGAGGGGAATTGAGCAGTCGGAGGCCACTACTGCGAGTGGAGGGGAATCGGGCAGTGCGGAGGTCACTGCTGCGAGCGGAGGGGAATCAGGCAGTGCAGGGGCCACTAGCTGCTGCTCCATTTATCGAGAACTTCGATAAATGCGTCGATGCTTTGCTTGAGTGTCCAAGTTTGGACATGGACGCTTTGAATTACAATAAGTTCACTCCCTTGCGAGCCGCAGCAGAGAAAATGTCCAGTAAGACGGGTTCTTTGAAAACATTTTGCCAGAAATTGGTGCAGAAAGGAGCAAGTATCGACGAGCACACACGACAAATTTTAGTTGAGCATAACGTTCCGATCAGTCAGGATGAGGCCACAACTTTGCCACTGTCTCAAACCGCGACTGCAAAACTTCTCAACCTACTTGTAGGCGACCAATCTGAAGGAATTGCTGACATGTTTAGCGGGGTGAGTGCCACCCAGGAAGTTCGTGCGGCGGCCAACTGCTACCTCGGGTCGAAGAAAGTCTTACACTACCTTGTTGACCGCTGCAGCGAGACGGGGGTGAGGGCGCTCCTTCTGGCCGGAGCCGACCCTTGGTCCACCAGCAGGAAGGGGGAGCTTGCCCTGCACAGTGCACTGGCTCATGGAGACTTGGCTATCGCGAACCTCCTCATAAATGAGATGAAAACAAAGAAGAATAGTAACCGCATTGACTTGCGGCACAAAAGTTTTTCTCTACTGCAAAAAGCGCTGGAAAATAACATAGATATTGATAAAACAGCAACAAAATGCTATAATTCGAATAAATATGAATGCCTGAACCGCTTGTTTGAAGACGACGTTTTAATAGATGTTAATCAAAAGGATGAAAGGCCCGACATCAACCAAACGGCTCTCCACATTGCCGGTGCAATGAACAACCAAGACGCCATGACGATTCTTCTCGAACATGGAGCGTATCTCGGCGAGCGTCGAATGATCGGCAAGCAAAATATGGGAACGGTTCTCAATGCTTTAATGGCCAAGACACTCGAGAAAACCATGGATAATTGCATCAAGGTTCAGTCCCAAGCCGTTGAGCAAAATGGTACCTTGGATCCCGAGAGGAAAAAGAGGATTATTGAAGAAGATACCTTGAATTGCAATTACACTCTTGAGCTGAACTGCCAGTTCCTGATGAGCCCCACCCCCAGCGAGCCCACTAAAGTTCAGCAGCTCGAGAACGAAGTATCGCTACTATACGACGTCAGTCAAAGCCAAGAACACCGCAACTCCATCAAACATCCACTTATACAAACTTTCCTTTACGCCAAGTGGAGGAAGGTATTTCCACTTTACATTCTGAATTTATTTCTCTATATGATGTTTGTAACCCCCAGCGAGCCCACTAAAGTTCAACAGCTCGAGAACGAAGTTTCACTGCTATACAAAGTCAGTCAAAGCCACGAACATCGCAACTGCATCAAACATCCACTCATACAAACTCTCATTTACGCCAAATGGGAGAAGGTATTCCTATTATTCTTTCTCAATTTTTTGCACTATATGTTCTGTCTATATTTCTTATTGGCATTGACAGTTGAGATTCATCGATTGGACAAGCTAACCTTACGCTCGCTTGAAAACTTGGCTTCGTCAAACAACTCCGCAGAAACCCAGCATTTAGAGGATGGAATTCTGCAGTACCAAAGTGCTCTCACCGTCTTCAAGTCTCTTCTCCTCATAATCACAGTCTCCATGATGGTTAAGGAACTTTTCCAGATCGCGTTCACGTGTAAAAGTTACATTTGGTGTATCGAGAACTACTTGAAATGGTTTTTGATCATAGCATTTCTGGTGTACTGTTTTGCACCGCTGTCCGCGTCCGCTACTCGACACCTCTCGGCCTGGTTGGTCATCGCCTATGGGTGAGCTTCATTAATTCAATTTGACCAAGGATTTAAAAAAAAAAGAAAAGCCAAGGAAGTTCACCATGTGCTCAACATAAATATTTCGAAGACCAGCTCCATCTCTAGTTGAACCAAAAGTATTGAATTAAAATAGAATAAAATACAAGGACAATCACAATAGAAAATCAAAAATGCGCGGAAAAGATAAAAAAAAACCAAGAAACGATACCAGAACATTGAAATTAGGCACATAAAAACCTAAACTCTCTGTACTGATGATGGAGCTGGTCTTGGAGACATTTTCATGGAACGTATGGTAACTTGCTTTTCATTTTTCTTTTTTTCAAATTTTTGGTAACTAGCGATTAAGCAAATTAATGCTATAATGCTCATTACTTATCTTGAGTTTTGAATTAAAGTTGCTGTTAATAATTGTATCAAAGTAAATATATAGGTATGTCTTCTAAGCTGACAAATGTATACATCAAACAACTGAAAATGGTACTGGCATGGTTACTTATTGCATAAATTCAAATTCACGGCTATCTATGAGACAGGGAGTAGTCTCACAATCAACTATTTTAGTCTTTGTTTATTACGGTTATAGGGAATAGTCTAAATTTATTTATATTTATTAGCAACAATTTTCCATTAACATTTTGACTTCAACGTTCCTCATTTTAAGTTTTGTATACTTTCAGGATCTTATTCATTCATGTTTTAGTTACGAGCTGGTAAGGGGAAAAAATTGTGCAGACGTGTTTTACTAAACATAGCTTAAATGCTTATGCCTATCTGTACCTAAATGAAAATGAGTTACACGAGTGACGGAGGTCGTCCCCCAGCAACTAATAACAATTTATCTCTGTATAAAAATACTAAGCGTAGTAGAATTCGTATCTAGAGGACTTGGGCCATACTTTCAAAACTCGCTAAGTGAACGTAAGTTTTTAAGCTCTATTTTCTTGTCTATGATTGGTGGATAATGCTTGAAAGGCCGTCAATGATTGGCTGATGAACTTACGATCTCTTAAATTTTTTTGAAAGTATAGGCCCTGGTGACGAAACTTACCGCCCGAAGACGAAGAGTTAACGGTTTATCCACGTATCGATTAACGGCAGTCTCCGCTGCTAGTACATAACGATTGTTACAGTCGGAGAACAAAGGGTTAAGCACGGGCAACAGGTTAGTCGTTCTTTCAACAGGCTTTAAGCCTGGGTAACAGGTTATTTGTTCTATCAACAGGCTTTAAGTTTGGGTAACAGGTTATTTGTTCGATCAACAGGCTTTAAGCTTGGGTAACAGGTAAGTCATTCGATCAGCAGATATCAATTCCGTAAACCGATATCAAGTTTATATAACTGTTATTATCAGCGGTATGAGTTCATGCCTAGCAATGCGGTGTCCATGTATCTGATAGCGACTTTTGAATTTCAGCTTCTACAACTGGTCTTCCTGACTAACGAACTTTTTATATGCATGTCTGCACTCGGTTATTTTTAAATTGATTTTTCGTTAATTTGTCAATTTAGGTTTTAATCTCGACATTTTGTACCATTTTTTACTGGTTGATGAGATTTGCATTTTAGAGTGTCAAACTGATGATCGAGCTTGTCACCGAAGCGCTTTATTCTCCAAGATATTTTGAAATTTTATACAATTTTTTTTGTTTCGAAATTCCAGTTATAATTGGTTGTTAGTGCTCAGCCGCCTGCCGCAGACGCGTGTCTACGTCGCGATGCTGCGCCTCGTGTCTTGGAACTTCCTGAAGCTCATTTTGATCTTCATGCTCCCCATCGTCGCGTTCAGTTTCGGCTTTTTCGTCACCCTGCAGCCTGACGATGATGCACAGGTAAGACATGCAGCTTTCCGATAAGGAAAATTGCCAGATGATTCATTTTTTTATGTAATTTGTACATAAAAATCAAAACATAGGACTCAAAACATAGGACTCAAACATTGGACTCAAAACAAGTACTTCTTTATGCTCAACTTCTGCACTCGATCAAAGAAATAAGTGAGACCTCATCCAGAAAATGATGCAGTATTTGCTCTTGTATGGGACATCCTGGTCCAGTTTGGACAGGCAGAAGCGCGTATATCAGAACTACGTCAGAGTTCTGCTTGTGGTGTGGGTGAGAAATTGTGATTCTATTTGGACAACATGTTCCACTTATTTTTCTGAGTGTGGAGCGTAGAAAATCTTGCTTTGTTGCCTACATTTTTCAAATAATTACCGAACTATGCGGAGCTAACAATTGCAATTTAGGCATCCCTTCCTTGGTATAAAAATTGTTATTTTTATTTATATATTCACTAGTGGTAGACAAGGACCGTTTAACACGTAGGTCATCAAGCCTGCGAATGGGTATTTAATCTCTAAGCAACTATACAAAAGTAATGAAGAAGGAGAAAAACATACGTCCCTCACTAATGTTCGTCCAACAGAACAAGGGCCACCTGGACTTCTGGCCGACGTTTGTGCGCACCATCGTCATGTCAACGGGCGAGTTCGAGTTTTCGTCCATCAGCGAGCAGCTGACGAAGGATGGCACTTTCCAAAACACATCATCTGTCATAATGTTCCTATTATTTATTTTCCTCGTCTACCTCGTCCTAATGAACGTCATGACGGGCTTTGCCGTCAATGATGTTAAGGTTAGCACTACTCATAAAATAAATGTGCCACTCAGCATTGACAGTATGGTTCGATAGTGTTGAACTTTAATGTAGATACCAAAATTTTTTTCGATTGCATAAATCTGACAACACGTTTGATATTCGATGAATATCATTGGAAATGAACTTAAATTTTGAAATTAAAATGTATTGATTGGAGGTTATGTAAAGTTACTGTACATGCATTGAAATTTTCTTCTATTCACGAATTTTCAATAACGATTCCCCATAACGAGGAATGATAAATAAACACAAGCGCGCAACACATTGTAATACTGGAATAAATGTGTAATGCCTTAATTATAATGAAAAAAGATGCATGCAAAAGAAGAGAAGATGCGTGCAAATATTATTTTCCACCTACTATTGCTCCCGCTGACAGCCAATTACTGTATTGCAACAGGAAATCAAGGAAGACGCGGAGTTCTACAGCCTCAAGTCGAAAATCGAGTTCGTGTACCTCAACGAGCAGCTGTTCATCAAGGTGAGACTGGACCATGTAATACCGTGCAGCCAAGTATCAACAATACTGAATTACGAATGACGCTTGTTGGACATCAGCAACACGCGTTAAACCAGCCAACGACATTGTAGAGGAAATGGATTTATTGCTGATTTTTAAGTTGCAATGCATTGGGTTTAGGATTTGATTTTTCATTTTGTATTCATCACCTTTGACCTCCAAGCAGATAGGGCGTTTAGTCTATCAATGTGTATAGTATTCTTGCGTGGAGGTACGTTAATTGATAGCTCTGTGATTATATTTGTGATTGTTCAATTTTAGAAGTGAATCGTTTCGTATTTTTGATTATTTGTACATGGTAATTTGTTTTATATGTTTATTAAATATTCATTCTCTATTTAGTTATTTCAAGCGTTATTTTTGTTCTATTTCAGGAAGGCCTAAATATTTGAAGTCAATATTTGAACGCGATCAATATTTGACTTGAAACCTGAGAAGTTAATTGGAAGTGATTGAAACGCACGGTTTATGGTTAGGTTAGGTTTTTAGGGTGTTAGGCTTGTTGTTTTGTTTCTATTTATTCATCATTAATTATATTTACTTTCAACTGTTTATCTATTGAAAATCCTTGGTCTAGAAAAGCTGATTGAAGAACGATCACGGCTATGTGTCGGGGAGACGTCAGTTCGTGAAGAGATAGAAAGTCCCCCAACAACAAAACACGCTTGTTGAAAGTCACAACTTTTTATACCAGAGGAACTAGCAAGAAAGAAGAAAATGATGGTTTATACTGTATTTGATCAAGGTTACTAATGCTGCTTTAAATATAACCAGCCAACACAAAGATGAACTCTACAATGATTGGTCGGTGTGCCTACCGCTGCACAGGCAGACGCAACGCCGGGTCTCTCTGTACCGATGGTACAGTGAGACAAATAATATTATTTGTTATTGTTTGATTTATTATTGCCCTTACAAGCAATAATGACGGACGATATCAATGATATTTTACACTATAGTCAATTTTTAATGACTATTCTTAACGCATCCAGGATGACTATGGATCAATGTATGTATGTGCATAAATGTATGTGCATAAGCAATCCCGTATTCTCATTGTGAAAATTTACGACAAGGTGAAAGTGAAAAAAAGTCCTTGTGATTGTTTCCTCCTTTCTCCTGAAAGTCCTTGTGATTGTTTTCTCATTTCTCCTGAATCCTTGTGATTGTTTCCTCCTTTCTCCTGAAATTCCTTGTGATTGTTTTCTCCTTTCTCCTGAAAGTCCTTGTGATTGTTTTCTCCTTTCTCCTGAAAGTCCTTGTGATTATTGTTTCGGACTTTTAGTCTAGAATTTCTATCGTCAGGTGCCCTTCCTGCAGCGCTTCCTGCCGCGCCTGCAGCTATTCGGCAACAACCAGCAGCTGCTCGTCAAGATCAACAAGTTGCGCAATATCAAAAGGATTATTCACGTCAGCGGCCAGAAGCAGTTCACGTACTACCCGGGCAACCGCATGGCTGAAGTAATCAGGTCAGCTGGTCGAATACAGGCAACTTGATTTTATATAGCCACGATCACGATTATTGAAATTGGTGACAGCATAGCGCTATATAATTATAAAATTATGAAACTATTCAAACGGAAAAAGTTCATGGCGGTGTAGGGTGGCCCAGTGGCTTCAGCTCGAAGTACTAGGATTGGAGCAGAGGGTTGCGGGTTCAAAGCGCGGCAAGCCGCGAGAATTTTGCGTTGCCAAGAATTGGCGACAGGCCATATTTGGTCTATTGAAATTGGTGACAGCATAGCGCTATATAATTATAAAATTATGAAACTATTCAAACGGAAAAAGTTCATGATGGGGCAGGGTGGCCCAGTGGCTTCAGTTCAGAGTACCAAGATTGGAGCAGAGAGGCGCGGGTTCGATCCCAGCTCTGTGCGCCAGTTTCTGGTCAGAATCGGCAAGGAGAGGGGCGCGGGTTCGATTAAAGCTCTGGGGCGCGTTTCTGGTCAGAACGGGCAAGGAGGCCGGGCGGTTATGCAAAGCATATTGGAGCAGGATATTGCACGTTCAAGACAGCAACAAGCTGTGAATTTTTTGCTATATTAAGAATCGGCGACAGGCCTATGGCATACGGCCTAACAAACGCTAAAACCGCTATTATTTACTATATTGCAGGTAAAGTTTCAGTTTGTCGATGTGCGAACCGCTGCTTATTTAAGGGGAGCGTCTAGGGTAAAATTTATCTCGGCTATTATACAAACTTGGTACACATATGTAAAATAGAATTCTAAGACATTTTTGTTCGTGTAAATTTTTCGAAAAAAATGAAAGAAAACGTGAAACTCTTAGAAAA